GACTCTGACAACCCCCCCAAAAAAGAGAGTTCTTCGCTACGCCCCTGCCAATTTTTTCGTCGCTGGATGTGCAACATTGAGGAACCGACCCATTTCTGCAGCATTCGGCCTCAGTCGCGGTAGCATTTACAATCACCTGCTGAGTGGCGTTCATCTGTGATATCTGATCACGCTTAAACGGAACAAAGTAAAGAATGAACTAAAAAGTACAGGCACACATCGAACATTTTTTTCTTTCAGAGGTATTTTTAAATGTAAGAGTACATTTGAGAGATGTTTGCCGTCATTTTCAGTGAAACTGGTAGTAGATGCAAGCGCTCATGGCCTACATTCACCATTTTATCATCCAGTTGAATGACCTTGTGCATTAATTTCGTTGCTTAACAGGATTTGCTCCCTAATTAATGATGACAGCTCTAAAATTAGTGTTGTCACTGGGGAGCAAAGTCATTACAAAGTCAGTCGTATGTCCCCTACAAGGGCAGTGTTATTTTCGGTTGGGATTCGCACGTCCATAAGATTCGTACATTGGAACATGAATTGGATTTGACAGTTGACTGGCCTTTGGCATGTGTGATATACGCCGACTCTCGACGCGGAATTGTGCATGGCATTGCAAAGTCTGCTGTCTTGCTAATATGGGGGGTCTCCGGACTCATTTTCAGATGTTCGTAAAATGCCCCAAATGGTTTATAAGGGTGATGGAATGGCACGTGTACTTCATCCTGAAAGTGTATTCCGAAGCAACTAGACGTGTTACACAACAAGGAGCTCGTGATTCACTTTAAACAAGGCTCTAAAGTCCATGGAATTGATTCTTAACGGTTCAGTGGACAGTTTGGCTTAAAATACTTCCGACAACAGACTGTCGCCATTTTTATATCATGTAACAAGTAGGAAGGATAAGTTTGTGCAGTGGCGTGCTTGTGTCACGGCCCTCCACATTTCGGGAGCCTCCCACAAATAAAAAACACATTTTTTTGTTATTGTGAAGCAAATAATGATCAAGGATGCAATAGTGCAATATTTGACTTTACGTTATACATTGATAATGTAATTAATATGTTCTCGGCCCAGGGGTTCCAACAACGTTAATTCCATCCTGGGCTCTTCGACTAACTGGCTTAGTTGTTTTACAATTGTTTCAACGAGTTTGAGCATTTAATCATTTGTTGACGTCAACGTTTTCTTATCAAGAATTCAGCTGTCTGCTCTTGAGAGTCTACTTTCAATATTCACTTTTGTGTAAAGCTTCGTATGTCTTTGAAAGTTAATTATAACGCTGGTGAATTGACAGAAATAATTCATTTTCGTTTTTAGCTCAACCTGGGAAAGAAGTTGTTTCGGAGACATCGGTGGGGGCAACTTTGGGTGTTATGGACAACTTCGAGTCAAGTACTGCGGTGCTTCTCCACGACTCACCTCAAAGTAGACCGTCTGTACTGCCCACGGCGCCCCCTCTCACAGTGGATTCCCAAGTCGGGGAATCACCACCACCCTCACCATTCTATCTTAACGTGACGCGCTACCGCGACGACACCGAATACTCTGACCCTTATGAACTCCTTGGTCGAGAGCCGCTCTGGAGGCGTTCTGCCCCTGGGCCGGACGAAGTCTGGGAACCGTTCCTGTTCCGCCCAGTCACCAACCTGGAGGAGCTCAACAGTGCCCCAAATGGCTATGTGAATGACTCCATCATCAAACTGAAAGAAAAAAGGCGCAGCAATCGAGGCAACCACATGCCCTATCGACTCCGATTCTCCTTCCGAAGTAAAGAACTTGAGAACAAGGCAGCAGCCTCAGTTGCGGGCGAAACTCATCACAAGCGCACCTTCAAACAGAAACCTCCGCTAAAACCTAAACCAGACAACATCAAGCTGCGACCTCTAATCCCCAGCAAAAACAAGGCATGCAACAGACCAAGTTGCTCAGGTTCTGGGACACTCTCACGTAGGTCTGATCCTCAGAGCAGTACGACACGCCGTGACGAGTTGGAGCTACAAATCCTCGGCCAACATTCACCAACAAACTTGGCGCGTCATTCAACGGATACTAGGCGCCACAAGTTCCAGAGAGGGACCTCAGTTCCAAATTCGGGAACCTGTTGCCAAGGGGATTCGGATCCGACAACTCTGATGCCATGGCCATGGAAGGAAGGTGAAGAAAGGTCAGAAGGTCATGTGTACGTAAACGAAAAAATTGGACGACCTCGCGTTGCCAAAGCAAGGAGCGTGGACGAATTTGGCTCATAACTGACATATTGGAATTATTCCAATGTTTTACACAAATGTTTGAGTTCCTGGAAGAATTACAGTGCTGAAAACAACTTCATCAGTCCGTGAGGCTCTTACCGTTTCCAAATTAATAAACATTGAAATAAAAGATAGAGAAATCATCCTGGGAACTTTTTGCGGGCTTTTACAATTGTCTCTTTCTTTTGTAATGAACATCTTTTGGGGTACTCGGTAGAAAGCATGACGAATAGCTTATTTGCCTCTCGCAACAGTCTTGCCTATTTGCTTCAGTGAAGATTAATTTCATTGATTATCCTTTACGTTCGTCTCCTCTTGCTGTATATGATTTCAACATGTGACTATTGCAGCCGATTTTGTCTTAAAAAGAAGATGCGAAGCGACTGATTTGCAGTGGTAAACATTTCTAGTGTTTCTATGTGGTAGAGAATTGAAAGTTGTTTAATTACACCTTCTACGAGGCGGGGTGGAAGGAAAGGGGCCCATCCAGCGGCGTGTCCAGCGGTCGAGGTCTCAAGACAATTGGCACATTGTATTTATTTATTATTGGGGGGGTTAACATGGATGTGCCACTGGAGACGCGTCGCTATGATTATGTTTTGCAGTTGGACGCAAGTGGCTTTGTTCTTGTATAGATATAAATCAAATTCACCCCGTCATATAACCGATCAAAGTGACGATGGTTCCGCTGAGTTTGGGACATGTTCACGTACATATCCACATGTATACGTGTCTAAAAAAGAAAGTAACTTTTGATGGTCTGATCATTTGCTCTGTAAGAGATTGCTTTGAATATATGTATATATTGAAAAACTATTTATGTAAAGACCGATAGTGTAAGAAATTGATGCAGTTGTATTTATTTCCAACTAAAAATAATCATGTAAATAATAAAAAGAATCAAATGTCAAATAAACTGAAAGAAAAAATGTTCCATATACTTCCACTTCGTGTTGTTCATTTCTTAGTTCAGCCAAAAAAAAAGAAGGAAAATGGAGAGAAAAGAGAGTAAAGGTGAAATAACAAGATTTGTTGATAAGATTTTACATTCAGAACTTCAAAATGGATCGTGAAATTCCATTGAAAATTAGAATACATATTTAGGTGGTGCGAAATCTTTTGTCAAGGAGAATTAATGTAACCCACGGCTTCTTCCGTAAAACTCTTCCATAAAATATGTTAAAGTAACAGTCACTCAGCTTTGAAATTTCCGAAATTCCTCAAAAAAATTTTTTTTCAAAAATCTTTCAACGAGCATTATTTTCGCAAACACTGTGATAAATGTGGTGTTAAATTAACACTCTGTGGTGTCAATATTTGACCCCGTGTATTATCTGTAGAATAGGACCACTGTAGATGCCACATGTCTGCTATATGGGACAACTGGTCTTATACCACATGATGTTCGTTTTAATAACACGAGTGCTGAAGTTGCACTTACGTGACATGCTTTGAACATGTAGAGTGGGATATTTTAAATAATTAAATAAATAAATATTGTGGACTACAACCAAACCCAGTACACGACAGCCTTGTTATTCGTTAATACTTCAAACGGACCATTAACTTTCTAACTGAAACGTCCGTGTTGTCATGAAAAACCTAAAACATTCTAAAAATATCGGTTCTATGAACAGATATATTTTAATAGAGCTACATATTGCACACTGTGATTTGGATACTACTCAAATATTCACAGCATACACAATACATGTTCAAAACGTTGCATCACAAGAGATTTATCCAGATTCTAATATGCATGAATCGATTCGTTGACATAGCCAGCTGTTCTGCATAAAACTGAGCGACAGGCATTCGAATCCACTTTGCCTGGACATCTGTTACCTTTTTCTTAACACCAATGCGCATTTATGTACTGTCTTGTAAATTTCATGTTGAAGTTGCATAATCAGGCGAGTACAATTTGCCGTCAACAAATTTAAAGTATTGGATTCGGGCAGATTGGAAGGAGATAACCGTGATATAGAAAAAGATTTACTCGATTAGGTAAGTTTTGTGATTACTTTTGACAGAATATTTTAGGCGTATATCATTGCAGAATCAATTATGCGTCATGTAAACCAACAGCTCGCAAATTTAATTGCACAATACTAATTACTGAATGTCTGTTTTTGATTTTTCTATACGTATAACATATCTACAAGAATGTTAGGGGCGTTGGGGTAGGAAGAGATTACTGTCTTTCTTTTACGTCTCTGAAAACTTGTAGAACAATGATTGGAAAACCTTCCCAAGGCTGTAAGTTCTGACATGGGGATGGTTAGTAACTAGTGCATGCATTCAAATAAAAGGAATATTTGTGACGTAATATTAGCCACTTGAGAAGTACATTCCTAAAAAAAATACAAACAGTTTTAGACCCCATTTTTCCCACTTCCTCCGAGAAGTTGTGTGACAAAAAGAAAGACCTGATTATTCCCAACTTGAAGCAATTTCAAAATTGAGTTTCCATCACGTTTACTTTATTTTCTCTTATCTTCCCCACCTTTTGCTTGTATTGCTTAAAGTACCTCTGGCATATTCATTATCGTGAATAAATTACACGTGCACGATATCTTCATCTAAAGTTGGGAAAGTGAGACATATACTTGCTGTGGATAAGCAAAACTTGGTTAATTAGTATAGAGATTTCTTTTCTTCTTGTCAAATTCATGCTGAAACTCACATATTATAAAAATGCAACAACTCCCCAAATTCCACGTCTAAATAAAAACTCGCCCCTAAATCCCTGCCGACATTACATCCTTGAACGATAGTTAAATAAACAAATTCTACATGATGGTTATTGCGATTTTTGTAGCAAAGATCACAGTGAATTTGGAGGAGTGTAAAATAGTACCTAAGTCCTTGGGATCATCCTATTCAGGGAAGACCCTATAATTATTTCCTCTCGTTTATACCAACGAAACTGTAGATAAAACTGGCCTAACGAGCTGAATGGGCTCAAATCAAAGTTGGATTTTTTTGCATGATTCCAAATCGGAATGGAGATAGTTTTCAGGATTATTTTTGCTTCACGTGCATTTTCCCCGTAGAATGTATCCAAGGCAATATCTGAAGGAGGCATTATCTGTCTAGCAAGAGCTGAATGATATGGGATGGGATGATGGCTATAACGACAACCAGTGGGATTCCGTTCAGGGTCAAAGGTAACATTAAACATGTACCATGCACAAGCATTATCGTGATTGTTCGGCTGTATCATCCCCATATTTCTATGACGCCTGTCTGTTTTCATCCATTTTGCTTTGACTCATCTCTGTCCTTTTCCTACCATTTCGCAAAACTAAAATTTACGACGTCTTAAAATTCAACCTGAATGGCAACAATTCGCTATGGCTGTCAAAACATAAAGCGCAGTCACCCTCAGTGCATAATGAAATTCAGCCCTTACAACCCAAACTACCTGCATTCAGACTTCATCAATTTGAAAACTTTCTATGTACATGCGCCATATGTAGGATTGCAATACATTTAGGACAGCATTCCATTTGTTTTACGGTTATTCGCTTCTTTACTTATGGGGAAGCGGGATTACTTCGTGAAGAGCAGTTAAAGCTTTTACTAATATTTTCCTTGAAGCTTTGTTGAGCGTTTCACTTATTTCTCGGTATACAGTTTAACCTAAGTGCTATAAAAACAGGAAATTTGCAAATAATTGTTGATCTGAGATTTAAAATTATTGGAGAGGCACAGAGACACTTCAGTAAATTCTGTGAATGGATACTCCGGAATGCTCAATTAATCATAGCAAGAGACCATCCTATGCTGAAACCTATCGTTAAGTTTCTTCCATTATGGTGCCGTCTCAGATGCGCTCCCTGCAAAACTAACCAAATGAAGTTCTCATTCGTTCCATTTTGAATAATTAATATTTGTATTTTTAAGGGCACTAAATTACTATATTTTAAATGTCATTTAATGTATGTTAAACTTTAAACTATCTGTATTTTAAAGGTCTAACGTTTTATTTTACGTTCTCCATCGTTTTTAAAGAGTAAAGACTATTAATTTTTAAATCAACTTTAAATTCAGATCCATTTTTATACTGATAGTGAGCTGTCCAACCATTGTCAAGTGTCTTTTTAAAATTAAGGATAATGTATTGTGAACTGAACTGAATTAATTGAACTGAAGGAATAGAATGAAAAACAGTGATGAAAGCTTGCACCATGATCAAGAGATATTGCAACTGATTCTGTATTTTCAAGTGTACTTTACGTCGGTGGTAAAATATGTCCAAAATCTGTGGACCTTAAAACTAGCCTTTTCATTTCAAAACATTTCAGTGTAACACTTACATAGAATGATTATTGGTCTCAAATACTCATAGGCAAATGCATATAATGTTGCCTGTAAAGAAAAGTGGTGCGTTAAAATCAAATCCTTAAAGTATACGGGGTAAATTGTAAGCTGCCCCTGGTATCCCTTAAAAACAAAATAATTATATTTGAATGGAGGGCAATTCTATCATAAATGTTCACAACTAATATAACTGCACGCTGAAGCCTTTTCAGTGTTTATGAATATCGTAGTTGTATTAAAAACCACAACTTGTTTCAGTAAAAACCCGCCGTAGGAATAGTTATGCCTTGAAATACATTAACGTAACTAAAGGTCTCATTTGCATATAGCACTTTTTTTCCTGAGGAGCCTCGCGATGGGGTTAAATTGTGCAAAGGTTATGTTCCGTCTTCTCTACATTCTGACAAAGGGGTATCAGTTTGTCCCCAGTCTCCAACCGAAAGTCACGCTGCCATTTTATTTATCTAAGCTTTTGCCGTAACATTTAAAAACTGGTCTCTCTCCAAGTCATAATCACTGAAAACGTTTAAAATTATAAAAAAAAGATAAAATGTAACAGAAACGAAATTAAAACGAAATAAAACGTAAAATCTAAAGGACTTTGTTTTGGAAAAATAAATAAACTACAAATTTAAGGCTGAAACCTTTTTAAGGGGGGGGGCGAAAACCGTTTGAAAAAATATGAAAATTTCCAACCGGCTATTTTACATAACGGCTGCAATATAATTCTTACAATGAGCAACATGACTTTTTCTAAAACTCTGCTTTCTTGCAGCCCTGTAATGTACTACCTAAACTACGTTCTAGTGATTGGCTGCCTCGTGATTCTTGTCAGCGCTCTTTTTTTCATCTTTCGAGAGTGTTGCCAAGGGAGCGAGAGCGGCGAAGAAATGGAAACGATCATAATGAGGTTACCGGAAGCACAGGTCCCAAGCTATACCGAGTCAACATGCGAGAGAGACCAGTCACATTATCACCGCATCATCCATGAGTATAACCACCAGTCGCAGGTCCCCTTCTCTCCTGGCTCTCAAGGGGCCCCTCGCCATTACTACACCTACGATCACAAACATCCAACGACCTACTACAGTTATCCCACCTCTTGTAACGCAGTGAGTAGCTCCACATCTGCGACTGCCCCTTCCCAGCAGAACAACGCTTTATCCCAGCCACCATGCGAAGATGAGAGACCACCTCCATACGCTCCACACAATTGAAGAGGACATTGCTAAACATAAGAGGGCAAGCGTAACATAATCGAGGACAACAACTGCAAAACATACTGTTTAGGGTGAACGTTGTACAGTGGTAAAAATATTTTAAAGAAATGACTGTTTGACTCTCAAAGAAGTTAATAGGGGAGCACCAAATTTATGGAATGTGTACGCGTAGTAGGCATTATTCCAGCGTATTACTTAAATTTTCGAGTGATTCTCTTGAAAAACGAGCAACTGAAGAAATGAAACTTAGACAAAACCAAAGCCACATAAAACACAAATAAACTTGCTGGCCTCTAAAGAGGAATGGCATTAATTGTAGTAACGAAAAACAAAGCAAAACTTTACAAGATGGTACTTAAAATGTGACTACTAAAATTCATTTTTCTGTCGCCTGAAAAAGGACGACTGACTTCATTTCCTGTGCCTTGGCCTTAAACTTCTATTTTGTCACATAAAGGTAAATTAATGCTACGTAATGCACTTTGTTGTGTGTTACAGTGTCATGTGTACAAAGGCGTAACTACAAGGGGGGACGGGGGCACGTGCCCCCAGCGGATGTACATCCCCCCCCCGATTTGAAATTTGTGAATAACCTCCGTTTAAATGCAGCTGCAGCTGTGCCCCAATTGAAACAATTCCCGGATGCCCCCGGACATTTAGCTCAGGTTACACCACTGCATGCATAGGCCTACACTTCGTTGTGCACAAAAGTGCTCACCCACATAATATGCACATTCTTGATCGAAATTTTGTCTATGTTGTCAATGTAAAAATAATATCCTCTGTATTACCCCCTTTTTTAGTATTTTGCATATATCACTTATATTACGTATAGGAAGATTCAAGACAAGCTGTTGGAATGTTTTCACACACAACAGTCACCACGGAAACTGAAACATTGGATAGTACAGTGAGACTGTTTAGGCTGAGTTTTAACTTCAAGTATTTTGCGCAGGATACATAACTGGCGGGACACATTACTTGGAAATTGTCAGCACTAGCAGGGGCCGATCCAGGAATTTTTCCGGGGGGGGGTCAGGCTAGGGATTTTTTTTGGCAAACAAGCGGAAACAATGGTGAAACATTATATGGAATATATTGCTTACAATGGTATTTGGCCTACACATTTTGAAGAATATACAGGATGTTACCTTGTTTTCAAATTTACGTTAGTTATTTTTTATTAATTTCCCCATTGTTATTACCTTTTTTGTTTCAGAGCAGGGGAGATCGACCCCCGGGTCTGCGCCTGACTACATTACCTTCACATTTTCCACATTTCATTCGTTATTAAAAAAGAGCTGCCATGCAATGTTTGGTTTTGCCCAGGCCATCACTAGGACCGTAAAGGAGCCCTTGTCCCTTTCCGCCTCCCCTGGAATAAAATGTAAAAACAAAATATTAAAAAGAGGGGAAAAGAGAAAAGAAAGAGCAAACGAACCGAAAAGGGACGAAGTGGGACGAAAAGCACCAATTCGTTGGACGATACCACAGAATAGACCAACTTTCACCGTTAATGGTTTTGTCATTTTGCTGCCTATGCCCTGGAAAAATATCCTGGTCTTGGCTATGGCTTTGCCACTAAACTTATTCTCGCTTCATCATAATCTTGATGACTACAATTTTCTGTCACTACTCTTTACAATCTTGTAAACTGGTGACAGAAAAGCAAAACTTTACAGAAATTAATTGATTGCCTCTTAATCTGTCTCATCCTTCCGAAGAACTAATGGCATACAATTCTTTAAATCTTGCGAAGCATTACACGGAACGCTTGTGTTGAGTAATTATTTGAAGTGTTGATACACAACTGAAGGCTTGAATTACAAGGGGAAAAGATACTTGCCTGCGGTATCCATAAAGCGACTAGAAGTATCCCAAATGCCACGTGCACTTCTGTGGCAAGGGTATTAAAATCATACGTGCTTAAATCTTATTTGTGATTCACTAAGAAATTGTTACATTTTATATTATTTGGGTTTATGCATTTCTGATTGAACGAGTTGCAAAGAAAAATGTCAAGAATACCATAAATAATGTACGGTTTTTAATGAACCGCAAACTTGGAAAGAAACACGAATAACACCTTGGATGCTGTGAATTTGTTTGTGCTTCACACTCTTGATCGAGTATCGGAAGAAAAGTAGCATGGACGTGTCGTTGTCCATACGGCATGGCATGTCAGTATGTTAATGTCTGCTTGTACCTGAACTTAGATCAGGTGAAGTCATTTTGTGTTTTAGATAAAACTCAGCAAAGAGTAACTCAATTCTGGAAAGACTAGTACTGTGCTAATGTATCCTTTTGAATCGTGGTCGGTTTATTCTTAGATGTTAGGTATGTCACACCACATAACTGAATTTCCTGCTCCGTTTTCCATCCAGAGTGCTTCCGTTAATATAATAAGCGGAATTCCAGCGACAACAACATGGCCTCGACAAACGTCGTCAACACAGCATGAGCAAGTGAAAAAGACCCTCCAAGAAACTGAATTACCGAGACATTTTTGGGTCATTGTTATAGCCGGTCCTTTCAGTGCTTGTCTGTATATTCCAGTCGGTTGGATTTCCCGTACATCCATCACTGCAGTATACCCGTAATTTCATAGCAGAAAGGGTGGTTATTGTTTGCTGATCTTTGTCCCAGGCTTCGATTCAATGAGAGGTAAATGCACAGATATCAGTTTCTGAGACCTCTCCGAGAATATCAATAAAGTATTGGATGATATGGAAAATAAAAGCTGAATTTATCCACAAAATACGTTTATTACTGATTACAATGAGATTTTATGGGCACAGTTGTTTATGCCAGAAACTTAAGCTCACACATTCGTATTTCTGTAGCTTTCCTCTTTTCCTGGAGGATGCAACTACATTAAATACTTTGATTTACAGACTGACAGCTGTCACAATTTAAAACTCAAACAAACAAAGAAAACAAAACAAAATAAACTTTCAAGTTGTATGTTTGATGTTTTTTCTTTTGTTTGTTTTCAATTCAAATTCAAACGATTGAATATGAGACAACTCACTATTCAAGCAGCCATCTATCTAATTTCTTAAGTTATAAAAATGAAACTGACAACATTGTGTACTTCATTACGTAATGGCTAACCAAATATGTTTCGATTTATGGATATGTAGTGGCATCTATCCTCAACCAAAGAACATAATGACTGACTTTAGTTTGTTAAACCCTTATCTTTATGTTACACCAGCATTCCCCTCTGCCAAATGCTCGTAGATATAATCTCCCGCCACACACGAGACATGCTGAAGACAGTAAAATTCGAAAACCTTTCACATCGACTGTTTATAAACTGCTATAATACAAACCAAGTTTTCCACCCTTTTTGAGCAGACTAATAATTCACTGTGGTTGTCTGAAGCATATAGCAATATCATGGAGCTCAGTGATTTATTGGACCCCTATAGGCCTGTATCAATTTGGCCGCGTGAATTAAATGTATAGAGTAGAAACAGGAAAGGCGCTGCGTTTCATTTAACTTCAATTTCTGCAGGCCGACACTGAAATATCTAGTCTACCATCCGCAGTTCCTCCTAGATCTAAAATGAATTTTTTTCACTTGAGTAAGAAGAAGCAGTAAGTGGCCAAACTAGTCTGGCCAATGCAAAAATTTTATATTGCCCGAGCAGTGCTTTAAGTCTGCAATGACAATTCGCTTTTCCTGTCACCCCAGAGTGCCAAATAACCTTTTCCATGTTAGTGCACCAGACTACGTGGAGAATAAATGGCTTCCCATATTCTGAATGGCTTACTCAATTAGAGTGATTTTAATTGCCAATTTTCATCCGTTCAACCATTTCGTTTACTGTCAGTTTACGTGTTAACGGGCAGAACTGGGCTGACAGCTTGAAGCTCGGAAAAACCAACAAGAATTCTGAAAACTGCTTAGTCTACCTACCAAGACACCATTTTCAGAAAAAAGCAGTGCTTCGTATTTTGTGGTTTGGTTTCCACATAACCAGTGCGCTTAATGATTGTATCCAAGAAGTTTGGATTTGAAATGTATATATCAGCGTATGGGAATGGATACTACTGGACACAATGACAGCGATGGATTTCTACCATTAACGCGAAAACGAGAGTGTCTTCACTAATGTACGAATGTGCAATCGCAGCGGAAAACTCTAGGAAATTTTGTATGACTTGCATAGGTATTGACATCCATCAAAGCAACGGTTACCTTAACGGACACGGGTCCTGTAGGGAGACATAACAGCCGCAGCACCCCGAGGTAGCTGGAGATACAGCAGATATTGTGAAGTTTTAAGATCAAAGGCGGAGATATTTCAACAAAATTTCATTTTGTGTATTATGTTTCTTAACTCGCAGCTGGATCCCACCCCCCCCGCATGTGGCCATGCAATGATATCTTTCCCTTTTACGTTATAATTTAAAGACACCCTCCTCATCATGTACGAGGGTTTAACCTGTTTGGGCCAAGCATTTTGTAATTATAAGGTCACTACAAGTTCAGGCCACTGTCCCTTGTTAAGACTTGACTGTTCATGCAGTGACAACGAAAAGGCTCAAAGTTTCAGCTAACAGTCAACAGTATACGTGCACCGCAAAACAATTAATCTGATTAAAATATGGAGTGGGGATTTTGGAAAATTGCAGAGGATTTGAGTTTAGCTTTGGATTTTGAGATCCAAAGTGTAATAATGAAACTGGTATGGTTCTTTGATAAAAGTATAGTCCGTGATCTTGGTGTACAGTATGCATGTTATCAGATGTAAGAAACTTCCAGTCGGTGTTTGAAGATGAAGGAGTGATTTTACGATTTTCACCCGTTTCCTTCCCTGTCCGTGTATCCTTCTTTCCAAGTTTATTGGCTGTGATTTCCTCTGTTTATATTAAGGGTGGAGACAGGCTGCAAATGGGACATTTTCGAGAACTTGTTGTTATGAAATTGTTCTTGTTTCTTTTCCACTTGTTTTTTGTTTGTAATTTGGGGGTAGGGTTCTGACCTAGCCTAGTCTGGCTTCACTCCATCATCACCCTCGTTTCCATGACATTATTTGAGTTTCGCTTAAAAGACCTCTAAACATCAGAGGTGTGCAATGCAATGGACATAAAATGGACAGTGCTCCGACTGGAAATAAAAATGCATTTTTTCCTGATGGGTACCTCGTACTTTGCCTGCTCTTGTGCAAGACTGCTGAAACACGCTCCTCATTATTGAATGCTCTTTAGCTCGGAAGAGCTAAACGCCACTGTAAAGTGTATCTACTGGGAAGGCACTTATGTGGGTACTTCACCGTGTCGCACAGGCGGTGGTTAGCCGGATAGTGTTGCCCCCAGTCCGGTATTCATTTCGCTGGAGGACCTGACGCGTGGTTGCAGACATCATGTCTACCGGCTGAAGATTTTTCATAGGACTATTCTTGAAATGTCACCTGTGAATACGCCAATGAGCAAAGAGCTGACATTGGTTTCATCCATATTACATTTTGGAGTCATTTTTCATTATAGTGATCCAGAAATGTGTCTTTGTGGCAAAAATAGCTCCTTACTATTTTAAGCATTTAATCAGTCAATTCTACAATAGTCATGTCGAATTAGGGTGTCAAGTTGGTGAAGGTCTTTTCTCGCCTTCCTCGGGTTTTCTGTGGATAAATTTACCTGGAGTTTTCCTCCTGTTCTGAACATCTCGTCATTGGTCTTTCAACGGTGAGGACCCAAAATGTACAGCTTTCGCTGGCTAAGCTTCCCTCATCTGCCTGTGGGTAACATCAAACTAAATCAACTGAGACATAGTTTGATAGCACCGGTAACTTTAGTACCAATCGGAAAGAAATAGTAACCATAAACACTTCTGAAAAAATGGTCTCTTGATCATCTGGGCGTTAAAGACCCACTACGGAGCAGTTACAGGGATTCGTTTATTATAATCACTCCCTTGACGCACCAATAGCATATTTATGATTAGGGTTTTCCGTACTTTACAACTACCCAATATCCATTTGGGGATGTTGCAAAGTTATAAACTTTTCTTTTGTTACAAACACTGACCATGGATTAGTCTGAAGTAGTAGTGTTTACTATTATCAGAGCTGTAATAGCTGCAGTTTATGCGTGAAGTTTCGGAACACTTTGGAATATTTGTACTGGCGACCATATCATGAGCGTAAATTTGGAGCCATTAAATTTTGGGGTGATGGGCCATTGAATCTTCCCTTACTTTTTTGTGTTGAGGAAAAATCACACTTATTGTGAAGAATTTTTGGACTTCCAAACATCAAAATGTATTCATTAGCACTCAAAAAGAGAGAGAAAAGGGGAGAGAGAAGCCATAAATACGCCGTTGGGAAGTTATTTTCTGCAGGAGTGTAATTATTTATACATAATATGATTACAGATATACACCTGTATTACAAAAATTGAACGTGGTGCCATGTGGTGTCAGCACCCATCGAGCCCCTACCCCGAATTTCACATTTTCATGGCTGGGCAATTCATCTCCCCCAATCCCCATCCCCCAGATTTGGCACAAATTTCCGCCACTGGACCACGCAGTCATAGTTTGCCAACCATTGGTTGAAAGAAAGTATCGCTGTGACGTAACAAAAGAAAAATCTGTGTGGCCAGATATCACCAAGTGTGTCCCAACAATATAGAAGCAAACCACCTCCCTCCGCTGCGCTTTGTGTGGGTCAGTTCATTCAACAGCTCAGCTCTGTTATTTTAGTGTTATACTTCTGCTTTGACCATTTTGCAGTTGTAAACTCTGAACAAATTTCCCCATCGATCAAGAGTATAGGCTTATAAGAACAGGGAACGCGCGTCCGCGAGTTACAGGTACTTTTTAGGCCTGCTTCCCTGACGTACTGAGGACTGACCAATGAAAAGGGGCGTGTTTGATGTGTACGGAATACTCGCATCCTAAAAGGCTACCTCTGGCAGAGCTTAACACTGAACGGAGACCGGAACCACAGGGTACCTAGTTGAACCTAAAGAGAAATGCATCTGCTTCGCGAGGTCTGTACACTCAGCCAAACAAGTTAAGGTGACGGCCGCACGCTAGAAAACCACACGGTCGAATTGATTTAGGAAAGACGCCTGAATTGGGGCGTGTAATGCGACAGCTGACGAGTGTCTTTAATTGCTGCCGATCTTGGCTAGACCTTTCTTTGCATCAGAGAAACTTATATGAGCTCATAATCGCGCAGGCATTTGTCATGTAAGCTCAGACGTCAGATGTCTTGAGGATTTTCTAATAAAACTGGTTGGCTGGCGTCATCATCAACCCACACGCTTCCATAGTTATTACTCTCCCATGCATTCATTGTGCTTCGGCTCTAAACGAAATTGAACTTCGAAAACAAGATATATGATAAAGCTTCCATTTAATTTCTAGTTATCACTAAATGTAACTCACAAGACATGCTAGGGGCAATGAGTGTCGTGAACTGATGTTTGCGTATATTTGTCCGCAGGGCCGGGAATTAAATACATGTGCCTTGCATGATTCAGATTACAATATTCTTTGTATGTCGACACAATTGGGTTTCCTTTTCGTTTTTTACGAAAATTATTACTTTTAGCTCGTTATCTGGCAAGGTATAACGAACAGAAATTACGCAGGTTCAATTAAATTTACGAGCAACAATTTGTGAATAGTAGTTGCTAAATCTGACTTTAGAGGGACCATGAAATAGAAACGTTTTACTAAACTGTTCTAAAACCCTTGAAATTGCACCTTCGGGTTTCAATTTACCTGATTTTAAATGTTTGCTCTGCAATATTAACCCATATTTCGGAGTTTTTTTTAGTTTTTATGCTAACCATTTGCATATTCATGAGCAAAACTATGGTGTCATCCAAGGCACCGAGCCTCAATGCTGCACTGATAGGTGAACAGAAAATTTCTAGATTTTTCAACCCTGCTATCGTAGATTTCATTTCCTTTGGCAATTTATTATTGTGTAAGTATATGACAATAGGCAGGCAAGCAACCTTTTCACAGAAATGTTTTCAGATAGCAAATTTAGAGTTTACAATTTGAACAGAAAAACATGCAAACTGAACCATGTCTTCCTTGATTTACATAAAAGCAAAAGCGCTTTCACTTGTCCAGAAATACTTAGTCAATTTGGAAAGTTTTAAAAAGTGCACTTTTCAGTTCACGTAACTCAAAATAAAAAGTCCAACAGTCTTCATACATTTAAGAAGAGTACACAGATATACAAAAAGTGATTCTAAGAAAAATTCATTTCATGGATCCTTTAAGGACAGGTTTAGCAACTATTTATAAAATGTTGCCCATATATCTAAATTCAAATTTAATTTTACTGAATGCGTATCTTTTTACGATCACCAAATCATCTGACATGGTCTTTTTCAGGACGTATCAGGTGGCACATTGTGTTCTTTGCACGGACTGCCCTTAAAATAGGTGAACAGCTTTCAAACACTTCGTTTTAAAATAATTGAGGCAGTTTTTGACTTTATGTGGGGAGACCATGGACGATAAATATTCAGAATGGTAGGTAATTGTTAGCTTGAAAAGCTCCTTTTATATCTCTTTTTAAAATCCTGTACTCAAAGTTCATTAGCTTTTGGGGTTGGAATTTTACTTAAATCAAATTTCAATCAGAACCAGAATGTTGAAATCCAACATCTCCTATGCCAGTTCTTGCACATCAGTCTTATGGACGACATATAACACAATCCTCTTGGCAAAATAGAAACATAATAATCACCGTATATTTTCTGCATTTCACTATCAAGCTTTGGCCCACTCTTTATTCAGAAAGTTATCTGCTCACATTTTTATCCTGTCTTCGTGTTCACGTTTGATCCAGTCAGGAAAGCTGCAGTTCTTGACAAAGGTTACTGTTTCGGCAGTTACTGTTTCGTCAGTCTGCAATCAATCTGCGGATTAGTTCAACTTGTCTGACTGAAGTACGGACTAGTCCGCTTCCGCCATAAAACAAGTCATTACTAGCTTGAGTCAACTGAAACGGAAAGGGAAGGAGAATTACTGAAGAGCAAGTTCCCTTGAGGCCAACAGATACCTGTTAATACCCTCAAAGAAGTTACCGGGTGATTTCATCCGATAAGACACGATAATGGCTTGGGTCCTGGAGGGTGGATGCTAGGAAGAGCTTTGAGGTTCATACCACTGTGACGAGGTTCATTATACAATAGTGGGTGGCACTCCCGCTTGTTGAAGTTTCCGAGCATTAATTGTACATTCAATGTCAATGTGTGTGTTTTGTCTGAACAATAATCCTTATTCACGAAGAAGTCATTTTTAACTTGTCCCTCGAATCTGTTTCGTAAACTGTAAACTGTTGTTATGGATGGCACCAGACTATTCTAAAATTGTGTTCTAAGCCTCCTTTTCAGTAATTCAAAATCTGGCTCAAACACTGAGGTATTTTTATCACAAATGTTCATCAGAGTATTTGGGAATTATTTGTCGTGAAATTAAATTTTATTGCTTTTATTTTTATCTGCAAACCCGTGACACATAATTTTGTACGGGGACATCATGCAAGCCTTTTAAATTTACAAGATATAGTGGGCAATAATCATTTAGTACTTTCAGTACTTGTCAGTGATTTCGAACAGGTATGTTTGATATTAGGGTTTTAGTGTAAGTTACCTGTAGGAAGGAAATGCTTCAGTCATTAATTGGGATAACTGTAAGATGCAGGATTGGGTTGATATATAACGCGTGTGTGGCAATAAAATGGATATTTGTCAAGTGATTTTTCCGCTCCTGAACCACACAGCCAATTCATGTATACATTACATGTAAGACGTTATCTTATACATAGATTCGTCGTTTCTTGCCTAATTCTTTTATGTTCTTCGAAATGGTCTATGGTTCTTCCCTACCACGACTCCGCAATTTTTTCGCTCACAGTCAAATATTATTAATGAACAAATTCCAACTAACTTAAAGCATGCCCAAAAAGTGGGAATTTGCTGGTTAATAATAATAATTCCCTTGAAGTTACTTAATTGCTTATGAAAAATTGTTTGTCATTTGTATTTACAAGAAATACAAACGCTTCCAAAATTTTACATCAAAATAAAAGTTTCCAACAATTCTGTTGTCCAAAGATGATGCATTTTAAAAGGGGACAGGATGATGACGACTTGTGAAGAATGGAGGATTGATTTCTAAGGGATATCAATCTCCGAATACTTGAAATGGTATGAAACGAAATATACATTTCGATCTTGCAAATTTAAATTACTTAACTTATGGAAAAGACTTAGCCAGGTATCCTACAGTTACCCCCGATCGTCCCTTTTATGCTGAATTCGATCTTTAAAGGTCACAGATTTAATTTACGAACAAAAGAAAACATGCTGATATATTCAAACACAAGTTTTATACTTCAAGTTTCAAGATTCGTAGCGCATATTCCGAAGAAGGAATAGGCCTATTGCAAGGAAAACCTCTCCCAATATGTATTTCGCGGCAGCAGGATATTTTATAACTGAAGCTTTTTTCAAATATAGAAAAGGTTGTCGATTAGCACTTACTTATGGCTCAGTGTCGTGATACGGTTGTCGTTTTGGCATTCATAGTGACCGTGTTAAAATTTTGCGGTTATTGCAGGTTTTTGTTGGTTGTCGGTGATCTGAATGCTAAATTTGTGGTCACTATCGTTTTGCTGGTTTGGACATTGTAACTTTTTGTTGTTTCGTTAGCTGATTCTTATTCTGATATTGTTGGTGTGATGATAGGGTGGTTTATGGTTACTATTCCTCGATTTTATTACTGGGACCAATTACTGTGATTGTTATGGTTAATTGTTGCTGATATTGTTTTTACAGCTGTAGTTAATGTGGCTGTATTGGTGATAAATGAGTTTCCACCTTGGGAGCGAAATTTGGAAAATCTGCAGCAAAAATGTAACTGAGACTAATGTACTTTGACCAAGTAAGGTGTCATGCCATAAAATACCACCACTCACCAACGTGACAAAATTAATGAAATAAAAGGATGACGGTTCAGTTATTCGCAGTACTCAACAGCATTAGTCACGAACCACTCGACGGGAAGAGACATAGCAGTTACACCAACATATTGTAGCTAAATCAATATGTCGCCATTTTATTCCTCAAAAACACAAGATGAAATGATCATAGAAGGCTAATGGTGTGTTTCCCAAACCATTTACAAATCACCCCTGATATTGTATACACGAGAGTAATGATACTGAATATGATAAATTCCTTAGATTTAACGAGTGCCAAACTGTCTTGATATTTAATTCAGGAAAAAAGGTGTATAACTGTAATGAGGCGTTGTTATATGCACAATAACACACTAAAAGCGACTGGGTTGGGCATTAACATTTTACACAGAATCTGCTTATAGCTGTCTACGCATGCATGTTGGTAGTTTGCAAGAAATCGTCGCTGCATCTAAAACTAACAATGATAAAAAGAAAGTGGCAGTTCTGAACGATTTTGCTGCTGTCAAGGAGGAGATGTTGAACTCAGAATAAGGGGGCTACAAAGGAGGGATGCATCTGGGAATTGTTCAAGTCAAACTGCTGCAACATCAACGATGGGATTTCTGAACTTTGTATTTTTAAGGAGAACGCAAGAAGTGCTCACCTGAAATGGTATGTTCGTTGTATTATTGGTAATTGATACTGTGTTACCAAGGGCACAATAACTTATCCATTAGCGTGAAATTGCATTAGTACTCTAGCCATTCCCAATAACCGGCGTCTAACTAAATATTCCTTCAACAAAATATATAAAAGACAAACTACTTCTAGATTTCTACTAAATTGAATATTTACCTACTGAGTTTAACAAACAAAAATAAGAACAAATTTATTTTCCCCATTAGTACGATGCATGGACATATTTGCGTCAAATTTGTAAGCATGCGTATAAAGTAGAAGATTGCTTCTGTATTTTACTTTTGACAAAAATTACCTATTTCAGACGTCTTAGTGGTGCAACTTACTTTAACAAAACTTAAGTGCAATAATTTGAAATGTGACAGCTTTCTTCTAAAATAAGGCTCTGTACGTCGGAGTGCTTGAAAGAAAGTTATTTTCGTATTATATCCATACTTTAACATTCATAATGATTCAGTTGCATTGCTGAGCAAAATAAGGACTACCTCAAAATGAATGGCTGCATCAAGGTACATATTCTTCTCTTCTGAAGTTTAAAACTCGTTTGTATTGTATTACAGCTCAAAATTGTCAAGCATTTGCTTATGAATCGGTTCCTAATATTCTGCAGTGATCAAAAAGTTTTAATTAAACAAGTAAATTATGGAATGAATAGTGTCCTTCACATTGTTTCAGTAACAGGTTTCAGAAACACAAAGGCTCATTGCGTTCTTAAATGAAATTTTTATATGAGAAATACAATCCGTCTTCGTTTTAGTCACGAAATATTAATGATGTTTACTTCCTTTATCGTCCGTTATTTTTGGTAGGAGTTGGTGAATGGGTTGAACGTTTTGCAATCTTCCTACAGACCTTCCAAGGTACAAATATAGGTTATATGTGCCTTTGAAAACAAAGAAGAATTCCAAATTGAAAGAAGAAGATAAAATTTTATGATGTCATTCATTTACCTTGAGTAGAAATTCGCCTGTATCACTGTGAACAAGTATGCAAAATTCAACATGCTGCTGGACCAGCGAAATGTTTTCTGTCCTTTAGTGTAGTTAGAGCTGGTCAAAACTTTTGGTTACTCGTATTGCTTTCCCCAGCTATACTGCATGTTGATTTTTCCACCCTTGACTTCATTGTTATTTGAGTCGCTGCGCAGTGCATAGGTCGTTGTCCTCTACGGGTTTATTTTCGTTTGAAAATGACAGCTTTTTTCATTATTTGATTCTGGCATGAAGTTGGGTTTTCTTCACGGCAGGCTGGCTCGTTTAACATTCACTCGTCACTCAGTTCATTGTCCATCCTTGCCACTTCCAATAACTGCAGTTTTGAGGAAAAATAAAATATAAAAGTACAATAATCAATTGCGATACGAAGGTTATTCCTTCAAGGTGAACAGAGGACCAACAACATTACAAATGTTCACTGTGATTTCCAAAGCCGTGGTGTATCTATTTGCGATAATCCTCATTTTGATTTTCGTAGCACCCAAAACAACCTCATCTTTGTAAACTCAAATAAGATTAAGGCATATCAAGTAACAACATCATCACGTTTCTTGGGTATCTGGCGTAACTATAACGTGTTGCAGTTTTGCACCCAGGAGACTCATTATTAGAGTGCCATGTCATTTCGTTATATGGAGTTCTAATCATTTTTCAGGATGATGGTAGTGTGATGTAATTCTTTGTATGTTGCACTATTATTATTTTCAGAAAGGGGAACAAAAACAGATCCAAAACAGTGACCTTAATCTACAAGACAATTTTTTTTTATATTTTTAGATTTTTTCCATCCTCAAAAAGAGCGACTCAAACAAATCACCACTCCTCAGGCATTGTTAAATAGAGCTTTTATATTTTAAAAACTATACATCGCAATATCCTTGGTTTTGAGATCTAGACCCTTGAATTCGATATTGGGCAAAAAGACTAGCTTCGCTCAATATTAATTAAAAGGATGTTGAAATATAGTCCGCTATCTCCATTTAACTTGCGGAAGAAAGTGAAAGGCGTCACCATCTGAGTGGATGTATAAAAGCAAATCTTCAAAAATGTTCTTTTAATTGTTTGGAAATTTACAACAGGAAAAAAATTACCTTTTCATTCGAAAGTTGATTAAAGCTCAGATCAAATTATCGGTGGAATCAAATTATTAATGAACGGCACAAAGCCGATAATATCCAACATCAATGCAAGCAGTTCAGAAAATACTAATTTGAGAAAGTTCACGTCACTGATGAAAATCTCCAACCTTTTATCATTATTGAAAAATAATGAGAGGGAGGCAATTTTCATGGCGGGATTTCCTCTCCCTTCCTCCAGAAAGCTTGTCAATCAACATCAAAATGTAGCGGTTAATCCTTGGAGAGACTAAAAAAGAGGCGACATGAAACACACAGAATATTTTCCCTAACCCAAATATACCCCCCATGCTTGATAGTCATTGTGAAGTGAGCCCACTTCACATTTAAAATTAGGAATAACTCTCTGGGGTTATTTTATTTGAATACTCAAACAAGATTACAAAACAAAGCTAAACACGGTACCCGTAAACGTTGACGCATTGATAAAAAGGTTGCAACTACAGTGAATTCTACACAATAACCTTTATAATGCTCCTTAGACTGGGCTGGACTATTACACGCGAAATAAAACCATTACCGGTACAGAAGGCAGTTCGGTAAAAGAATTTTTTTTTCAATTATGCGACCCGTAAAAATCTGATGAGTTCGTAAAACTCCAGCAGTGTCGTTTATGTTAGACTAGTGCCCTATTTTAAACATCCAGTAGCAAGTAAAACTGCCACGATCTATGCAATGCAATCTTGATCAAATTAGACTCCTGAATATTAAGGTTTGTTCCGTATTTCACCTCTACATTGGACGTTTGGTGGACTCATTGCAAATTCAGTTTCTTTGCAAGACGCATTGTGTAATTTCTGGTCAAAATAGGTGGGTTTCCCAAGGATATCTGGGCGCTTTTGAAATTCTAATAATACTTTTCAGTCGGTAGAACTGAACGTTTTCCAACGTGTCGTGAAATTGCATTAACGTTCCCTTTTCCTCAACTGATTTTAAATGGTATCTCACAGCAGGAAGCTTGCATATTGGCAACTGCACATGCCAAGGTAGGGCATTTTACGCGAGTATAAACGTGACGTCTAATAAAACTATGAAAGATATTTAATACATGTATCCAATTGAACCAAAAACTTTATAAACAATCGTCATCACGAAAAATACTGTTTTAATGCAGTCACAGTTTAACTTCTAAATGTCCTGAAATATAGGCCTACGTTAGTAGCGCCCTTATTGCAATTCACTAATATCTTTGGGCTTCCAAAATCTTTCTTATCAATGCATGTGGATCGTCTTAAAATTCCTCCATGACACATTTCTCATATTGGTGATGCTTCACTTATCACTTGTTCACTCATTATTTAGCCCTCTTTCAAGATAATCGAATTTTTCGATAGTTTTGCCAACATGTCATAATCCAAAATATGCATATAGCCATTTCGACTGGATTTGTTTATTGTTTTCTATTTCTCGTTTCCTTATTTGTCTTGCCTTCTTGTATATGTGCCGCTGGGTCCAAATATAATAACGATGACAATCATGATAATGACAAAAGTCATGATGTAGGTCTCACGTCCTAAATAGAATGTAAGAAAGGCTGCACGCAATGTAACGGAGGGCGTGAATTTGCTTTCAAAGGAGCAGCAAGAGGCCTATGTTAATTGGACTTTTGGTTAAAAACTTATAATTTGAATATCTGGACATTCTAAGGTTTACAGTTCAAACTTCTTTTCACGTCCTACAATGAGTGGCCTAGTGAAAGACGTCACCAAGACTGTTCACGTTCCCACAAACCTTTAACAATAGTGTAACAGCCCTATATATAGGTGGCAATATGTCTGAGTGCACCTGCTTCCCGTGGATTATTACTATTCATCTGACCAGCTGGTAATTATGTTGCAGGTGAGACCTGTCCTTCACAATAATACACACGCGTTGCTCACCAGAACAATTTAAGTCATAGTAGGTCACACAAAAATGTGAGCAATGATTTCTTATTAAATAGTTGCGTATTCGCCCTTGCCACGACAGGTCGGCACAAATAGGCTTCAGCTTACAGATCTTGTGAGAAGAGGACGGTTTGTTTGTTTGTCAGTTTGTTTATTTTTATTTTCTTGGATCAAAGTGAGTATTTTAGAGAGCAATTTGTGCAATCCAAGCTTGCTATTCAATGTACAACGAGGCATTAATGCATGCACTGAGAAACGTATTAAGAGACGACTCATACCAATTGCTGCGTGTTCTTTCTCTACAGATCAGCGTTATATACGATCCAGCGAAGGATAACCAATCATTCTCAATCACAAGGTCACTTTCACGCGTGACTGTTGACCAGGTGTAATTCGATTAATTACACATCGCAAGATTTTTTTTACGGATTTCGATCAGGATTAGTCTTACCTCCAGTGTAAATCGCTGTAAACATCTGCCTTTATTTCCATTTTCTAACTGTACGAAGATTAAATCTTTTGGATGAGACCATATGCTTAGATTTTTCCATTCTTAAGTTTTGTTTAGTGAACTTAAAACCATCGCAAAAGAAAGTTGATTTTTAAGTAATTTCTGTGAGTGCTGATTGATTGTCCACACCACCGCAACACGCAATTGGTAGCTGCCCAAGGGAGCATGAACTTTAAGGTGTGGTTTTTAGTACCATTCCAACTGATAGGCGTCTTCACTTCAGCATGAATTTTGGAGACAACTATCTACATGACTGGATCACTGTCGATAATTTATACATTATTGTCCGCACGTTTTGCATAGAAGCATCCAGTCTTTTGGGGTGGGATGGTTCGTATGCTATTTCATATCATAAATTTGAGCTCTATTCACCGAAGATAAACCAAGGAAGTACGACGAGACAGGTTTTGCTTTTTATGGTAGAGAATTAAAATCCGCTGCAATCAGTGTCTCATAAGAACCCCCCACAAAAAAAGCACACAATTAACGTATTTTATTAAAAATTCTCCCCAACTTATGAGGACGTAAACAATCATTTACCAGAAAATTTCATAGAGTTTGCTCATGCAAATATATCCGATGGCTTGCAACGTATTAATACAGATCCTTCAGTTGAGATTAAAAAGTAGGTACGGGAATTCTTCATCAGAGAAACCTTAGTGGGATATACATCAAAAGAAGTCCCCTTGTCATTTTAGTTTCTCGTTTCATTCATTACTGTTTTCAAATCTCCGACGACATACCTTGAAGCAATGGTTAATGCAAAGATTCCCACATTTTTGCAAGAACCTTAACATTCCCCAAAACTGAATCCAAAACAAAAGTTCGCTCTGGCAACATTTTAATTGACGAGGGGAACGGCTGAGCCTTATCCTTCGATAGCAGGTATTCCATGCGTGTTTCTGGTGCGTCTGTTACGCCCTACCATCTCGGTTAAGCACACATCTTAACAGTTAAAAGTGATAATTTTTCTTGTCATCTGTGTTCATAAATGGTAAGTGTAGAACCCCTGCGTTGGGCCTGCATGATGATGCATATGATATGTCAGAAGGGCATGTTCTTTCATTTTGTCATTTAATATAGGAGAAAAGGCTTCAAGTTTCAGAGGAAAATGAGCAGAACACATATTTTCTGATTTTAGTCAGTCTTAGATTCATACAGAGTTCAGCAGATGGTTGAACCTCAGGTTTATTTTCACGCACATCTATATTTGCCTTAGGTGCAATATTTTTATAAGCATTTCTTTATTTAGGGATGTGAGGCAGCCATGCAGTATCACTTTGTACGGACGCGGTCGTTAATGAGTGTGGAAGCTCTATTCTCGATAAATTAAATAGATACATCACCAATTCACATCCGTTTACAGTGGAATATGGCAGGTGTTAGCAACTGGTTAGAGATATGTTAAAGCGAATCATTTTAAAAACCAATCTAAGAAGCCAGATAAATCCCGTCCAAGCGTACACGTGGTCTTAAACCTTAGTTTGAATGTCCCCGCCAATGCTGCATATTTCTGCGCAAAGCTCTAACGCCCTCAGCCTAATAAACCCAACTGACGCTCTTCACAAGTATCGGCGGTTGTTTACAAGCCACTACCCCACCCCAACGCTAAATGCAATTACCTTTCCATGTCTGTGTAAAACGATGTTCTCAACTAACACATTAACGAAAACCGGATTTCCAGAAAGGAAAAATATGGAATTGTGTCAATTACGGGAGCTGATGAAAAGACTAATGCGTTAACAGACAAAGAACATACCTTTGAAAGCATATGCCTTTTCCCTGGTGAAAGACGAGCAAGGTACCCAGCCATCAGGTTTTCTACAGGCTCCCTTTCAAACTGCAGCGAACAAGTAAATAAGGATACGGGTTTAACGTTCCTTTCAAGAAAATAGGGATAATGACTGAGATTATTTTGATTTCGTGAAGGTGTTGAAAGCGTAAATGTTGTTGTTTCCGGGATAAGGCTGGGATGCATGATATAACACTGTGACTCGTATCACGTCACACTTAAAGCAGGTGATAACTGTTTAGTTGGCAAAGGGGGTTCATTTTCTTTCTGACTTTCACAGGCTTCCTTTGGTCAGTGACGTAAATCTGTGCCAGGAAGTCGGGGGATGGGGGATTGTGGGGGATGGCGTGCCGGGCCATGGAAAATTGAAAAGTTGGAGGGGGATGCTGATACCATATGGCAACAACATATTCTAAGGATGTTGTTCTCCTTTTTGAGTGCTGTTTCAATACATTTCAATATCACTTTGTCCAAAACGTTTTCACAATCTGCCTATTTTTTTAACCACGAAAAACAGGGGAAACGATCCAGTAACCCACCCCTGGTCATAAGTTGGGGGATATATACCCTCATTCTGCAGGATTTACGTCCATACCTTTAGTTAAAATTCCAAAATGTCCAAATGCACATCTCAGTTAACGTTACTTTAATTAATCAGGAAGTCTACGCTCGATCTCAAAGGGTTTTGATTGGTCAGTTTTCATCTTTACTTAACAAAATTTCAAGAACCATTTCACTAATTATTTAGTGAGGTTGTAAACTCTCGAAGGGTTCAAGTCCAACCCATCTGAAAGGGCACGTGAATTTGGTGCCTTGTAAATAGCACATTTTGTATTTCTACGCGCATTTCAGTCTTGTTCACCACCTAAAAAAAACAATTTCCCTGTTAAGAGAAATTAGATTTTGGGATACAAAAAAGCATCATCAAAAATCTTATGTATAATTAATTACCTCTTCTGAACCCTCGGCACCATCCATCAGGTTAAGATAGTGTTGAGGCCTCATGCCAGTCTGTGATCTTTTACCATCTGTGGAGAGAAAAAGATAAAAGGAAATCGCAATGAATTTTCAAGAAATTTCCGAAAATCAGGTCTAGGAAGATTAAAACGATACAAACATGTGTTGTCCTCACAGTACCTGCATCAGCCTATAAATTAACAAAATATTAAAATATGTATACTGTACGTGACGTCATGATAGATGGACCGGTGTCAATCTACCGGATATTACCACTCCGATGTTGTTCATACGGATTAGAGTGTACACTGCGAAATGTAAACCCAATATTTATATACATATCCCCTAACATTCCATCTACAACGATTCTCCAGCACGCAGCTAACCGACCATGGCTCCTAGTTTTGTCTAGTTTATTTGGAACCCCGTGACATGACACCACCTGATTTGTGACTATATTCTTTTAAATATGTTATTGTAAGGTTTGTAGCCATAAATACAAAATTAATTCCAAAGTACTGGTTACTTCATAAGTTGAACAATGTCCTCTGAACTCATGATATTCACTCATTTGCATATATGAAAAGCTTGGAAGAATAACTGAAAGGACACGGATAAAGACTTCATTCAGAAGTCAGTCATTAACCACTTCTGCCGGGCGACCCGTTTTCGAGTTCATAGGCTTTATATGCAGAGCGGGGAGCCCGGAACTGGGACAAAAGAGTTGGGCCTTTTAACAAAAGACTGTGCTCGGCACAAAAGACTGAGCTGTTGGGCTTTACCGACATTTTTTCGCTCTCAATAGTGAAGAAAATCCAGCCTTGTTTTGAAACATTATAACACGGTTTGAGGCATGTAGAGCGAGCGGATTACCACAGGGGACAAAAGCTCTCCACCACCGCAGCGATGAGTCATACAGCACCGCTGCACGCTAATCTGGCCCCTATTGAAAAGCAGGTCAGCAGTGCACTGTGCCGGTTTCGGGAACAAAAGAATCTTACGTAACACCGTACAATCTAAACTCTTTTTCCAAGGCTGCAGGCCTGGCTGAAATATTCAGGAATCAATGAATTTTACCTGTCAGCTTTAGAATAGTGTCCAAAGAGCCCTTCATTTTGGTATAAACGGCCATTAGATGAAATGATGAATTTTTGAAGAACTTTGAAAACGGAAAATTTTGAAAATGAACCGGCATCTTGTCTTGTTCAAGAAAAATCCACCCGGCAGCAAGTGGTTTTAAATGCTTCATATAAGTTAGAAATGATTGTAATAACTAGTACTGATTCCTGTGAAGAACAAAAAATTCAAGATTGTCATAAAAGAATCCTGTTATTTTTCGCACTAGACACATCCAAAATGTTTTCAAAGATTAAATTTGGGGTTCAATATGTGAAAATGAAAACGTATAAACTGAATAATGTCTTCCAACATTTACACCACAGCAACAGCGCCCTCACTTGTCTAGAAAAGTTGGGACCATTTTTTAAACGTAAAAGGCGCATCGCTTCAGTATTCTAAACTCCAAAGGATCTCAAACGATTGCCAAATATTGAATAAAAGTATAAAAAAGCACCAAAGGCAAGTTTAAGAAAAATTCATTCCAAGGATTCTTTAGTTTGGCTCGGTTCAGATATGTCGTAAACTTTTTTTTTACTTTATAAATCACACAGAACGTCCAAAGCATAACTTTGCTACCTTAAGTGATGGCATTATTGAGAGCTGAGGTTATAAGGTTAATCTCCAAGGACTCAGTTTTTGTTTTTATTGAGGGGTGACAATTTCTGTACATTTTTGCTACATTTCAAAGGCAATTTCTTGCAAAACTTGTAACTGGTCTTCGGCCCCAATATTCAACGATGCATTTTAATTGTCCATACCGCTATTGAGTTCCTTGACAGCGTAACCTAAAAAGAAATATCTCTGGTGTGTGACCCCACACCGGCTGTAAATACTGAGTAGGTCAAAAAGATCAAATCATCAAACGCGTCAGCTAATTCAGCAAGAGTGCTCGTTTGTCCCTGTGGCCTCCCCTCTGGCAGTTGCCAACAAAAAAAATGAGAACTACTCGCCGATTTTCAGCCTCAAGAGAATTTATTTGACTGGAATTTTCCGCAAAAATGTTTTTTATTTTGTCTTTGAATTTAGTTGTGTAATAATTTTATATATCTGTTAAAAAAGTTTAGGAGCCGTGCCTGTTGACGGCCTTCCCAAATTTCCCTGCAATGATTTATTCCGTGTGGCGCTGCTCATCCAGATATCTGAATGTTGATCCTCCATTAAATGCAAGCCTTGTGACTCAGGTCCAATTATTATCGGAAGTCAGTTCCCTCGGCGAGATTTTAGCATGCTGAATACCGTGTTAAAGGGAATTAAGGATTCTCATTCTTAGGTTGTGCTATGAAAGTACAGAAACTCATATCCCTGGTTATACTATAGGAAAGCCTTTCAGTTACTTAAAGAGATAGCTTGCGTTATTTTTTTCTAGTTAGTGTATAACTGTTTCATTCCATCATACCCTGGCTGGATGTTCAGTAATATTAAAAATAAGTTTTTTAGTGCATGAGACACATTATTTATGTTTTTTTAATATTGGCTATGTCCTAAAAGTTAAAAGCCTTTTAATCCAGCTTAATGGGGATTACTGACTATTTTCAACATATTCAAATGGTTTTTCGTGGCAAATTTGAAGAAAAAAAAACTGTGCGATGTGGATTGGAATACCTTCTCCATATGTTAACTACGCAGAATTTGGACAATAAGAATATTCCATCATTTCCATTAAACAACTGCTCTCAGCAAATGTTCAGGAAATTCAAAGTATCCATGATCTGGGAAAACTGGTAACTGGTCCTAGAGTTAGTTCTTGGCCAGGGATAGGACACCCAGATAGCCGACAACAGACTTTACAGACATGGTATGGTTTATATATGTGGCTGCTACCAAGATGCACATGGTTCAAGTTGTTTTCTATTCATTCTGTTTTTGTTTGCGTATGTGTGTTTGTTTGTGTGTGTATTTTGGCTTGGGTTTTTTTCTTTTCAAAAGTGACACTGAAAGCAGCTGTTGCAGTCTACAGTATAATTAATTCTCCAGCCATACAGCTTGTGCTTGAAGCTCAAGAACAAAGCACTCTTTGAGTACTACTCGGTGGTTTATGATTGGTCCCTGCCCTGGAAGCTCTCAGTGACACAACCCTCATATCGAGTGTTTTAAGCTAGAGTTTGAGTGTTGAGGAGATGTAAAGTAGCAAGGACATTAAAAGATACGAAAGGCATTTGTGGAACACATCTAGGTTTTATCGATTAAAAGTTTCAGTGAGATTACACTGCACGTTGAAGAGCACTGTGGCTAACCAAGGGCATCGTTTGTCAAAAGCTCAATCGATTATTGGAAAGCGCAAATAGAAGACGACAGTGGCGAAAACGACTTTCCGTAGTTTTTCAAGTGGAGATGAACGGCACAGTACTCATTGTAATCGTGTAATTGCAATACAATTCTGCGTGGGTTAAGGTCAGCTGAGGCAAAATTTACAATTGCAAAAAAAATATGCAGTACATATTCATATATTTGTGCCAAATGTAATGTAATACATCGGGCTTCGAGGGGTTATAATTGGGTACAATTTCATAAATTAAATGAAACCTCGCCGGAGAGGATGAAGACATATACCTCAACAAATAAGTGCAATTTTAAGGAAAAGTTCAAATAAAATGTTTCGTGAAATAATCTGAATATGACAATAATCGTTTGTTTCTTAGGGTAAAATGTGGCCAACGTTTGGGGAGACGTTTTCCCGAAATGCAGTCGCCGCTAAATTGCTAGAGTGTACAGTGTATTACTTTAAATTCATGAAAAATCATCCCAGTGACAAAAATTTTAAGTGATAACTGACAGAAAAGTATGTCACATTGCTTGAAGTCAATTCCACGAAGCACGAAATCTGAACGAAGAGGCGGTCAGTTACTTTTGACCTCAAAAGAATGCATTTTTGTGTCCCACAAAGAAGTAAAGAAAGACTTCCCACACCCCTCCTTCAAAATGTATATCAACAAATATCAAGAGGTTTCCCATCCCTTTAAATAAACGTCTCAGGTTGTATACTGGGTTGTATTTATTTCCCCTCAGCTATCGATCCCGAATGCGAGCAAAACCAACAAAACATCTCTACGCAATTTGCTTTTGTACGCGGAAGCGTCAATTTGCAATCCACTTTAAAATGCTCTCCTAGAATGCATCAGTGTCACTGTCATATCCAAGAGAAAAATTCATACCAATTCTTGTTTGCTTAAAATGAGCCATATTTACTTCCAGGCATAACCATGCGTGGAGATGTTATAGAAATTGAAATCAGAAGTAAAGACAGCGTTGTGTACGCAGAAATGCTTATCAATCCTTAAATATTCATCCAGACTCATCTAAAAGATTCGTTGTGGCTCGAGTTTTCTTGGCTTATAGGTACTGCCGAACAACCAAGTTAGGATTCCATTTCGCAATGACAGCCAGGTGAGATCCCTCCCACTACTTAGTTCGAACTTCAGTACTATCAGGAGGGGAAACTGTTTTCATTTTTTTAAAATATTTGCTGACGCTCGCAGTCCCGTAGGGTGCTTCACCGCTTGCATCCAATAGCTGGCACAAATTGCCGACTGACTTGCTAGAGTGTTATTGTTTCACGTGTTTAGCCTTATTATATTTCCAGGATTTCAGGATATTTTCTGTTTAGACTTCAATCTTGGAATGATTTTGGTAACAGATATAACATTAAAACTGACCATTCCAAATTTACTACAGGTCTAATTCCAGGCTTGTTTTAGACACCAGAGATCGTAATAATGTTGAACATTACCTTCTGCTGCACTTCTGCAATCGTCTCAGCCATAATTAGGAAGTTAAACATTGAAGACATATTCCACCACGCGTTTAATCGGTTTTATGGCGTTTTTCATTTACACCAATATTATTTGCTTGAAGTAATTGGTTGATTTAATTTCGTACATCACAATAAGAATAGAATGAAACACGTTTATTTATATAATGAATAATGATAATGAATGGCGGATACCAGGCAGAAAGCAAACTATTGTTCATAGCCTGGCTCCTTATTTCTCACAATAATATCCATATGCAGCTATTACAAGGTATAGAAGAAAGAGTCAACAACTCTACGGTTTTGCGTACAACTTTCACTCTTTTGAAAATAAGTATAAACCCGAACACTGTCCAAGATCCTCAAATATCCCCCAGGTCTATCATTCCAAACTCAACCACCAGCAGAGGGTGGTTTCTCAAACTAATACTGTAAGAATGTCCTTTGATAGTGAAAAATTTAGTTCTTTAAAAATAAATTCGATTAAGCCATGTCTCTCCCTCATCACAGATGACGAAATTAACTGGATGCAGGATTTTAAAATATCAATTGTCTGCGGAGAATTTTACAAGCAGCAATGCGTAGTTGGCCATACTGCATTACAGTAATGCCCTTTATTACAAAGTCATTAGTTGTTCATGAAAGCCAACGAAACACGGTCCCTACTAAGCTAGGCCCAAACAAAACTGGAGTTTCTTGCTATTAGCAATAACCCACAACATTGGGGAGGAGGTTGTGATAAATTGGTCAATTTGTAGGGAATACGGATGTGCTTCCTGGTAGTGATTCGTGCGGCTAGTTGGAGTAGAGCTGCAAGCGCTTACTGGATCTTTGGATAAAGGCATTTGAAGTGTAAGTATGTCGAGCAAAGAATATTCCTGTTCACTTTGATACATTCTGTATCCTTGATGGTACCTACAATCTGATGAATTTTTAAGTACCAAAGACTCTGACTTTTGAATGAAATTAGTCCATCGTGCTGAGTTATCTTTCCTGTACGGATAGCATGAATGTTGTTGTAAGAATACCCATCATATTTCTCCTTTTAAATAGGCTTAGTTGAATTCTGTCTCTTTTGACGCTACGTGAGAAACTATCTTGAGTTGAAGTTCATGGTTTGTCACCCTTTTACTTTTTTTGGTTAATTTTAAATGTGTGTAAACCCTCTAAAAACCTCCCGGGTTAGATTGACCCGGGCAAAATGACCCAAAACAGATCAAAACGACAAGAAAGTGTCTCTTTTTGACCCACAAAGGTCTGAGCCCTATAGGACCGACCCGAATTCCAAGTCAAACTGACACGAACATCTTAGAGTGAAGGAAGAGTTATCCCTCACAAGACTGTATAATTCTTTTGTAACAAACAGATCCACCATTGCGTAACTTTTATGACAAGAATTGCTATTGATTAAAACGATAACAATTACATTCAAATTCAGTTTATTTCTATGAACTAACAAACATTTGATTTTCGGTTTGGCTTGTCTTTTAATATTGGTAATATCGACATGGTTAATGATACTATACATCCCCATGTGCTCATAGATTCCAACATTTTCTTTCGGCTTATACGCCAACGGAAAATTTTGTCAACTATGAAACTCCTTTTTATATAGGAAAATTCCTGAGCTGTCTGAAAATGACTGTCGGTGCAACCTGCAAGTACAAATTTTCTTCTTACAAAAGGTTCTCGATTTACGGTCAGTTTACATTCCTGTGAGTTGTCTGTATGTCAAAAACAAAAACTTCAGCGGGTTTAGGCTCAGTAGTTATTTTGGGCAGGATTTGTGATATCCAGCAATGATTTGGGGAATAATTTCGGAATAATCAGCGACGTTGGGCAGTAGTATAACCAGGGGGCAGAGTGAAAGAACACGAAGGGATGGATTGTTTAAAAAAAAATTGGAACGGAAAAAGGATTATACAAAATCGGGACGGTGAGAGTAAGATGCAACTCAGCAACATCTCTTTCAGTTTTTGCACTTTAAAACAATCAAAATGAAATAGATATAAAATAATGTTCAACCTTTAAGAGGAGTAAAACGTTGCACAAAAATTTGTCTTGTCAGCTGTCCTCTTCCGGGATGCGCGGACATGTTCTTAGGCACAAGTTGTTCTAGTGAGCGCATGTTTTAATATCGTAAAAATCAGGGCATGGACAGCCCAAAGAGCAGTTTTCAAAATGAAGCAGTTTCATTGACATTGATTCCCTTCAACCAAAACAGACAAACAAACAAATGAACAACAAAAAACCTCACCACAAAAAAACCACAAGAATAACAGATATGAGATTCCCCATTTACATGGAATTAAGGTACACCATGTCACACCGAACGACTTTTAGACGGTCACTTTTGCCATTAATGCTAAACGTTCCATAGTCAGCCATAGAACCACTGATTGTGTATAATTTTGTAAAACGGACCATCCGCGTAGATTTATGTCACAGGAAAAATGTTTGAATACATCTTCATTGTAAATATCTCTAAGTTTTCCAAAGTATAAGGTTGAAAACTTACATGTCGGTCCAAAGATTCTGTTGAAGTTTGTTCGTGGTTGTGCAAGGCACATTACTGAGAGGCACATGATAGCCACAGCTAGCCGTTGAGATGTGCTCACCATTGTTGATACAAGGGGAATGTCAATGATAAACAAGCCTCGATTAGAAACGGCTCCAAAATTCAGCCTCAGAGAAGACACGTCTAATGGTGGTAAACACCCCAGTGTTGCGTACGGCCCCAGTCGTTTGAACTCAGATCTTCAAGGATTACTTTTCAGGAACCGTGGAATCGGTTTTATCACGTTGTGTCTTTTCCAATCTTCTGTCGCTTCTGCAGCTTCTCTCCCGTGCCGTCTAGAGCCAAGTCGTATTTTCTTCTGCACAGTTGCTGGATTACAAGGGCTCCTTATATACTTTCTTCGTCGGTCATCTAACTAGAAGGCTTGATGTGATTTGGCCTTGTCAGCTCAGCCAATGCACGACTGGAGAGCGCAGGCGGGCAGGCAGGGAGTCACTCGTAGGTCAAAAAACGAGTTTTTCTAAATATTAAGTTCCATTCATCGAGCCACCAGTCCAAAATACATGAATGTTCTTCTTTTTGGCGCCCTTACAAACAACAGGATGGAGCCCTGAGAAGAAGCTGTCTAAGATTTCATACTTCATGTCTCGACATGAGAGTGAATTGTGGTCCGTCATCCCAATTCGTCATCAAGCAAGAACAACTTAAGTGCAACCAAAAACGATCGCTAAAAGACCAAATGAAGAAACGCCTTCGGTATACGTTTGTTTTGACAACCTTTCTTTGTTCTTTCTCCAAAGTTGTTTTCAATCCTCGGAATCCTGCGGGAAAGTGACTTGACATTTTGAAAATGTTTTTATGACATCTGTGTGTTTGTGTGATATTGATTTACATTTGTGGCCGGATTGAATCATACTGATCACCATTAGTGGAAATATGGGATATTCTTCTCTTCTGGAAACATTAATGAAATCATGGTAGGCGGGCTGGTTAAGGATACGCTTTACTTGCAGGCACCGGGGGCGCTATTTGTACATATGTGGACAATGTATATTATTAAGTATAACTACATGTTCTCAAGACTACATAGGTGAACTTAGTACTTTTCTACAGCAGTTTTAGAAATTATTAACATCTTCCAAACAACTTTGACATTTGGACTGCCCTGTTGAAAGATCTTTCAGAAACAACGTACTGTATGCATAAGTTTCTCCCGTGCGGCGACATTCCTCAGCTCTAGAATAACTTCCGGTTGGTGGGGGCCTTTAAAGACAAGCATTGTTCATAGATTAAAATTGGTTCCTGTGAACATGATTGCGAACCTTTCTCTCGGGACACTTCAGTAAACAGAATTGACACGTAAATTAACACAAAATTAATATTGTCCACTGGCTTCCTTTTTAAAGACTGGATGCATGGCGTTTTACACTGTGTGTAAATTCGAAATTAATTTTAGTCGCCCTCGTTTCTTTCGAAATACCGAAACACGGCAAAGTGGGAAAGGTGGAGAAAAAAGAGCCGATGGAAAAAATTGGACCTTTTATGAAGATGGGTTTTTAATTTGGCTAATTTGGAACTTTCCATTCACTAAATGGACGTGTTGGGAACATCTTAGATAGTAACTAACTCTTGGAAATGACGTTACACGTCCCTTGCATTGTTCAAAGCCCAAATATAAATTCGCTTCACCAGTTTGCCTATACATAATCCGCCAACTAGCAAACTATCTGCATTCCACTACCAACCACCACTACCAGTGATCAGTACTACAGCCCAAAGGACGTGTAGAGAAAAGGAAAGTGCCATCTTGGCAAGAATTCGTTTTTCTTGAGGCTATTATCTTTTGCACGATAAGCGGTATGAGGATGCAGGGCACACTGAATTTGCAAAAACAGTAACATTAGGTTAATGAAAGTTAAGATTCTGGGTGTACATCAAGCCAAGCCTACCGGTAAGGCACTCCATGACCAATAATTTAAAAAGTACTCAAAATTCTGTGAAAAGCTGTTATTAACAACGAGCAACACAGCCCTGTTTGTGTAATATAATACATCCCTCGTCTAGACACAATACTTGCAGAAACACTCATCATTATAACGTTTCAAGTACGTTCATATGTAACACAATCACCCATTTCAAAAACTTACCACTGTCAATTTATTGTGAAAAGATCAGGTATAATTCTGTATCGCACCACTTTATCAAAACACCTGGAGATACGTGGTCTTTTTAACCGAAACTTAGATTCCAAAGAGGCTGGAAACAGTTTATATTCATCTAAAGCAACACGCTAGGATTGAGTAAAACAATTAGCCTAACGAATGTTGTTCACTAATATAAATCGGTTTCGATCATGGGCTGTTCCCTTACTTTTGACCTCTATGTCAATCTTTAAAAATTCATGAACAGTGTTAATGTGAAACACTGGCGTCGCTAGAGGGGATGTGGGGCTGTTACAGCCCCCCATGAGTCAGTTTTGTTGGCAAAATCAGGTTGTTGTAGGCAAGAATGGAGGAAAAGGAAAAAAGGGGGAGGTAAGAGTCAGGTCTGGGAATCAGACAACCATTACACTCATCATTTGCTGATGGTCTGTCTGCAAATTTCATGATGGCATACTCTCATCATTTAAAATGGTCTAGCTGGCGATTAATATTTTTCACAGTAGAAATAGTCTGGTTTAGAGACTGACGATTTCCAGAATGATTTGCCAATAAAAAAATGAAAATGATGTTTTTGCTTTGTTAGTGTTAGTTGTCTTGAATTACTTGGTGTTCAAGAATTTTTTGAATATCAAATTCATACTTTAGTTGTGTTTCGCTTTTACTGAGCCGCTATGCAAACCAGTTGAAATCCCTCCAACTATTCGTGAATAAACTTTTCTCTTGCACACTGCCTAAGGACGCTTGTAGTCGGTAATCTCTTGAATTATCGCCCAGGCAGACATCACAAAGTATTGGGGGAGTCAAATAGCATAATCAATTCACATTGACCCACTATGGCGTGCAAAGTTAACATTTAATCTGCGTATACAGATATCTCTATTCCTAGATGTGCCAAGTTAAAATTTATTCCCGGAATAGAGATGTCTCTATTATTAATAGAGATATGTCTATCAGGAATAGAGATGTCTCTATTGATAATAGAGATATCTGTGTATGCGGATTAAATGTTAACTTTGCACGCCATAACCCACAGTAAGTGGTAGTCCTAACTCGCGTGTTGTTCAAAGAAATGAATTCCATCCAATAAGGCTAGAAAATTCCGAAGACAGACTTCACCAGTGTTCTAGGAAAAGGGCAGTGTGGGTACTGTGAACAAAATAATGAACTCCTCCCCAATCAGGCACCCCTCCTCCACAAGATAAGTCACTGCAGTACATGGCGCGACCATCATGGACACCAATAAGGGACCAGGAATGAATAACGTGATTGTCACGGATGAAAAGCTAAGAGGTGCCTGTGGATATTAATTAACGAGTAAAACAAACACTGGCTTCAATCAGGTAGTGACGGGACGTTAAACAAGCACTCTGTATAAAATGAGTGCAATGTAACGTGTACAGTTTGGGCACTCGCGATACATCTCGTTAAAATGCTTTTGTGGAGAAGGCTACATGTCATAGGCCTAGTCAGTGGGATGGCGTCAAAGGGAGAATCACCGAAGTCCTCCCAGCCACCAAAAACAAACCAAACCAAACAAAATATCCGTTCATTACAGGATGATAATGAGTGAAGAAGACGGTGAAGAAATATTTAGGTTTTTGCTGGGTATAGGGACACAAAACCACATATGGCCACATGTGGCCCGACCCGGATTCCAACCAGGCCCCCAGAGGTGGAAGGCGAGGAAAGAAACACTACGCCAACCTGACTCCCCAATATGACTTGTTTTACAACTGACTGATGTTATCTTCCGTGAAACAGCAGTATTGTTTCAAACTAGAACCTCAGGAGAATTGTTCATGCATTTGTTGCACTGCAAGAAGTCGAGGACAAAAAATGAGTAAATATTAATTTTCAACTATTCTGACTGATGAGGTTGTACATGTATTTTGGAAATCTTCTTGAATACTGAAGTGCGCCAAAAATGTCCTTCTATTAGCCCTGAACGCTGGAGGCGACAGGGATTGAGAAGTCTCCTAGCCTGTAGCCGCGGGTGGGTCGATACGAAACGTAGTCAAGTTGAAATTTTGAGCGACGTTGAGTGGAATGCACTAGCGACATTGACGACTTTTTTGCGATTAAAGCACTGTAGTGGATTACGGAGCAAGAATGAACAGGACCAAAGTTTCATTGAGTGAAGAAAGGGGCGCCCTGACTTAGCGGCTACTATTTAATGGCTGTCGTATGAGTCTTGAAAACCACTAAAAGCCTTGGACGTCAGATGAAAAGCCACGCTGTCAGCGATACGAAACAACATTCTAATGTACAAGAAGTCCTTATATGATCCTTTACAAAACAGTATGTCATTCGACGTATTATATTCTCAAGTAAGAAATTCAGATCAAACTTGTTAATGGATCTGGGTAGACAAATCATCAATATGTGATCAACAATAATGTGGGCAGCGATGTGCAGCTGAGAAAAACCCTCATCACCCGTCGATCGTCGCCACTCGGCTAACGCGTTGTCAGAACGCAAGAACTAATGGGCGCATTAGCCCCAATTAGGTCATTCAGCGCAATGTGGAGGCCAGACAATACTGCACAACAGAGCACGACAGAAACGTAGGCATGATGTAGACCATCGCTGAACTAAAATGTAAGGATTGTAAAGGCATAGTCAAAGGCGTTGGTGGTCGTATTCGACAGTTGATCCTTTCATAATGGTGAATAACTCAAGCTATGAACGAAATTTCCATTAACCTGCAAAATAAAGGCCAGTTCATACGCAAGGTAAGAGAAAGGGGAATCGATCACGTCACAAGAAGTACATGTAGGCCTACCGGTATTCGCGCTGCCAACTGGTAAGAGTGCACGCAATTCTGAAGCACGTGTGATGCGTTCGCGTGATGCAATAAGAGCGAATGTTTAAAAATTAAGGGCTCAGTCCTGAATGAAGTACGAAGTTTTTGGATTAGCATAGCGCCACATATCAAAAGTTCTTAAGACATATAATTAAGCAAATACAGATATACTGAAAATGACGAAATCCTAAACATACTTTGCAGTTTGAGAAAATGGTGTAAAACGACCCATCTGCCGATTCTCCATTGTCATCAACCGATGTAGAGGGTTAACAGGGGTGATATAAGGAACAATTTGGAATTATGGGTGTAGTAGTGGGCAATGCAGCAAAACTGTAGTTTCTCCTGCAGCGGGTGTGTAACAATCTAATTTATAATGGAACCCGGGGAAGTTATTTGGCCTTTTCGGTGAA